ACTCTACTCAAGCAATCTCTTCTTCCACCTTTCATCACTGATTTGGACGACGTGTCCGGCCCAGTTCCATTTCAGTGTGGCAATTCGGGAAATTACATCGGTAACTCCTGTTCTTTGTATTAAGTCTTCATTTCTAACTCGGTAAAGGACAATGTCCTTTTTCTTTGTTAATATTTCTGGTATATCATCTTCTCTGCTGTTTGCTTTGTGTTGGCTTGTGTACAGCAATTTGTAGAAGTTTTTTTAACTATTTTAAGGGTTTCCTCTTTGTTGGTTGTACAATTTCTATTTCTATCTTTAATCTTTATTATCTGCCTTGTCCCCGTTCTTAGTCTTTTTCTCAATACTTTGATACTTCTATTGTTCTCAATGGTGTGTTCGATTTGTTCTTGGTTGTATTTTCGAGTGTCTTGTCTAACAGCTTTGGATATTTCTTTATTTAATTTTTGTAGTTCGTCGGTTTTAGTTTCCGTCTCGCTTCTCATTTCTCTTCTTTTCTGCATTAGTTGCCTAGTATTTTGGCGAATCTTCTCTTCTTTTTGACTTCTAGACAGAATTTGTTTTGACTTTCCAGTAAAGCATTTGTTAATTTATTATTTAAGTCGTTTATTTTATTTTCTGTTTTAGGACTACTAAGTATGTCGGAAATACATTGCTGAAAACTATCTACATCTCATGGTTTCATCCATGGTTTTAATTTGTTCTTCTTTTTAATCATCTTATACCTGTCCTTCTTTAAGCTTATTTCTATTTTACCTCGTACCATTCTATGATGCCTTTATTATCGATAGATAGCATTAATTTCGGCCTCGAAACGCTTCAAATGAATCGTAATACTAACACTTTGGCAGTTTACAAGATTTAATAAGAATGTTGTCGGTTTAAATTTTGAACTGGCATGCTGAAACTTACCGAATAGCAGCAGATACTGTAACTTTTGTACTAAAAGTATGATTTCACAAAATTTACAATTTATAAGTAATATAATATCTATAAAAACCGTATTTAGATTTTAAAATCCTATTTAGGCATTTTTAGTTAATTATTTTAGTATTGATAAACAATAGTGTTCATTGCATAACGTATTAGTGGTAATTTTTATATTAGTATTAGTATTTTAAATCTTGTTTCTCTTTTTTTCTCTAATTTCTCAAAAATCTTCTTTCTTGAAAAGAGGTTAAAAATACAATAATGTCGCCCATGTAGACTAGACATATTTCTTCTATAAGTCCTTTTAGTACGTTCTCCATTACTCTCTAGAATATTGAGGATGCATTTTTGAGTCCGAATTCTCAGGTATTCATAGTGGTCATTTTCGAAATTTGCTTTCAGAAGCCTTAAGATTAAGAGCATCAAATGTCTTGTGAAATTTGAAAAGGTAAAATTTTAAGTTGTATTAGAAGGAAGTGAATTTAATCTCAAAATGCAATTTGACCATCTTTGTTTAGTGAGTAATCTAAACAGTTAAATTAAATTCATTCTTCAATAGAACTTAAACGGCTTTTACAGCCGCATTGAAAACATTAAAATGCTAATAAATGAACTGTCACCACTAATATTATATCTACAAGAAACTCGTCTTTCCAACAATCAAGCAAAACTAAAAAAATATACGCCCTATATAAAAAACCGAGCAGTACAATAAATATCCAGTGGCGGAGTCGAAATTTTTGTACGTACAACCATCCAATCCAAAGAAATTCCATTAAATCCAAATCTAGAAGCAGTAGCAGTTTAAGCAATACATCATTTTAAGATCAATATATACAATGTTTGTATACCACATCCTGACGAGGCCACTTTATTAGAACTTCAAAATGTAATCAAACAAATTCCATCCCCAAAATTAATTTTGGGTGATACAAACTGTCGCAACATCGTATGGGATCCCCAAAAACCGATAAAAAAGGACGCTTATTATTAGAAGCAAATAATAACATAAAACTGTAGTGTTATTAAATACAACAACATCTACTAGATTCAATGCATATAATGGTACATTTTCCTCCATAGACTTATTCATAAGTGATTCAACTATCGCTCCGTTTCTACAATGGAATACATTAAACTACCTATATGATAGTGATCATTTTCCAATAATAATTACTCATGACAAAGACGAAAAAACCTGTACAACACCATTTAAAACGTGGAAATTAAAATCAGCTGATTGGGAAAAATACTCTAAACTAGTAAGTTTGCGTATACCAATTATCACTATATCAGATAAGATAGACACTACACTAACATATTTGAACGACATAGTTTTAGATACAGCCAGAAATTCTATAGCAAAGACCAAAAACACCACAAAAACTCCTCTTCCTTGGTAGACCATTGAAATCGCATCTGCGTTAAAGCAAGCAAAACATACTTTCAATATATACAAGAAGTATAACACCTTATAACTTAAACAATTTTAAATTTTAAAGGATCAGATCTAGATTTTTAATAAAGAAAGCAAAAAGAGGGAGCTGGGCCAATTACGTGTCGTCAACTGACTTGTCTACGCCCATACCTAAGGAGTATATGTCAAAAAATAAAGAGAATAAAAGGTTCAAAAACATTTAACTATATTGACATAACATTTTATGAATTAAATGATAGTATTAATAACACCCAAAGTATCAACCCAAGAATAATACTCTGCATACTGAAGCTTAATAAAAAAACCAGTCTTAAAATAATTCAAGCCTATGCACCTACATCTACACACTCGGTCAAGGAAGTGGAAACCTTTTATGAAGACCTAGAAAATTCTGTAAAACTAGCGCCTACTACACACAACCTAGTAATGGGTGACTTTAATGCTGAGTTGGGATGTAAACTAGACGGGACCGAAGTAGCAATAGGTCCCTATGGATTCGGACAAAGAAATGAAAGAGGCGAAATGTTTTGGGTTTCTTTGCAGTCGAGCTGAAAAGAAGAATAAACCTCGCTTGGGCTGCATTTGGAAGGATGAAGGATATTTTTAGGTCTAAGATTCCAATGTGTCTGAAAAGAAAAGTATTTAATCAATGTATTTTGCCAGTGATGACCTACGGCGCGGAAACCCTAACGCTCACAAGAACAACAGTGAGTAAACTACAAGTTGCGGAAAGAGCAATGGAGAGAATTATGTTAGGGATTTCTCTACGTGATAGAATACCCAATGCTACTATACGCAAAAGATCAGGAGTAGCAGACGTTATTGAAAGGATAACAACACTAAAGTGGAACTGGGCAGGTCATGTAGCAAGATCAGTTGATGACCGGTGGACAAAAAGAATTTTGGAATGGAGACCTCGAATACAAACTTACAGAAATAGAGGTCGACCCCCAACAAGATGGACAGATGACATAAAAAGAGTGACTACAAATTGGATTCAGATGGCGCAAAATCGGACTAAGTGGAAAAGCATGCGAGAGGCCTATGTTCAGCAGTGGACGTTAGAGGCTAGTTGATGATGATGATTAATAACACCAAAAATACCTCACTTGGACCTGATGATATACCACCAATTTTTATCGAAAAACTACCTATTAGTGCCAAGGTTGTTTTAGTAGAGATTTTCAACAAAATTTACGTGACCCATAAATTTCCATCTCTATGGCACCAAGCAATTATTATACCATTTTTAAAAGACAATAAACCAAAAAAACTTTTCTTCCTCGTATTGACCAGTATATCTCACCTGTAGCATTTGTAAAATAATGGAAAAGTAAAAGATTAAAATTGTACTTAGAAAAGAAAAATGTCCTTATATGCATCCAAAGTAGATACAGATCAGAACGGTCTAAAATAGATAATATCATAGCATTAGACTCTGAAATACATGAAGGCTTTATACATAAACAAAAATTATTAGAAATTTTCTTCGATGTAACAAAAGCATTCTACATCACGTCGATATACCACATTTTAAAAATAATGGAAAGCTGGAAAATAGATGGTAAATTCCTAGCCTTCACCAAAAACTTCCTGGAAAAGAGATATCAACTACGAAGTCATTGGAAACTGGCATCCCTCAAGGATCTGCATTAAGCTCGCTGCTGTTTTTATAACTAGCTTTTTATAGCTAGTTTTATAAATAGCCATAAATAACCTATCTAACCATTTTTTACTCCCAGTAAAAGCAAATCTTTATGCGGATGATCTTGTAGTATATATGAGGAGTAAAAACATAATCGAAAACAAAAACATAATCAAAAGTTATCAAACCAGATGTTGCTTCTGCTTTACTACCACTCCCACCTCCTGGTCCCATTGGGACTACTTGGTCCTTTTGACTACTTGGTGACGTCCCAAAGACGTGACTAAGTAGTCCTCAACAGATTGCGGATAGGCATACAAAATTCACACATGGATACATCATTTCCAAGGACCCTCAGTCGCTGTGCTACAACTGCCAAATACAATTTTCAGTACAACATATAATAATAAACTGTCCAGTGTATTCAACAGCAAGATCGACAGCGAAAATACAATCCAGCCTAAAAGAAGCTTTAATAGAAGACAGTAGTAAAACAATAAAATTTGAATGAAATATGGATAAATTTCGAATATACAATCGATGCCATTTTTTAATAGCGACTGCCTTCGAGGCGCTTTCAACGAGAAGTCTAGATATGTACTAGTCCAGATGATTCTAAAATAATACTTTTGGTATATATATATGGATGCTGTTATGAGTTGAGTTTAGTTACGTACGTTTAGTACAGTACTTTCAAAACTCCTATGTAAATATGTTATGTTAAAACTATTTCTAAAATAAAAATAAATCACCCTACTAATAACCCTAGGGGTTGATGTGGTAAAAAAAGATCAGAGAGACCACTACTTGATGATAATTCCTACTCCCTATTCCTGTTACTTCAATTATTTTCTATTCTGGCATCTATACCAAAATTACTTTGTTCTCAGATATAAAACTTTTCCACAAAATCTACTTGTTACAATCTTTTTTTATAAACTTAACTAAGTCCCTCTATTTACACCAAGCTCTTTACCAAAAAATTACCATTTTAACTCCTGATTGTGTACTGTCAGTATAAATAAGATGTTTATTCTTAAATTCTATAACTGTTTGGTTGGTTGCCAACAGCATTTTCGACGGTTTTGAATCATCCTAAAAATAAATTAATATATTATACAAATTATATTTGAATCAGGTCTACATTAAAATACGATGAAAAAATTGCTAATCAGGTTATTGATTATGTACTTTAGCTTCCTCAGTCCCAGGAAATTTTTTGTTTTTTAATTTCAATATTTTGGTGTGTTTTATGTTACATTAGGCATTAAGATAAAAAAAATTGGGTTTCAAGATAATCAAAAATTCTCAAAAGCAATTTGTGTTTTATGAGTAACATAGCCATGCTTTTTTTATGAATGTATCGGAAATAAATACACAACTATTACGATAAAATTTAGTTATATCATTTATTAAGTAATAAAATATGATAAAAAATAACTGATAGATAATAAACTGGTGTCAGTTCATTCACAACCTTGATGCTGTTTCGGTTTTCTTGGAGCAGAGGAACACCTGACATGTAGACATAGATTCTGGCTGAGTTCATGCACTGGGCATAGTTCATGGTATAGCTTGAAGCAGTTTCTGTTTTCTTGGATGCAGAGGAATACTTGGCATGTAGAACACCTGATTCTGGCTGAGTTGGCTGAACATCCTTGCATTCGGCATCTATTCTTCTTGACTGGAGTTGAGATTTCTGGTAAATGAAAAGTGTGCTTTTTACGGAGCAAGTCTGGAGGGTGAGATACCCTGGGTTGCTTTAGAGGAGGGGACAAGGAACACTAATAATCTGAATCACTATCCTTAAAGCTCTCCTGCTGACCATGGGCTAGGAAATATGCATACTCTTCTTTAAAACTAAAGAGATCCAAATATCTTTTCTGTGGGTTCCTAAAAGTCGCTGATCTCGTCGGTATTCTATCCATGATGCTGAAATTCCGAAGTCAAATATATGTATGATAACTCTGACTGTCCATTTCCTAGTTCGCGCAGAAGTCCTGTAATAACATCATTCGGTCCAAGAAGTCAATGCCTCCCATATTGGTATTGTAAACTATCAGAGGCCTGTTGACTTCAATGAGCCTCTTTTGTATTTTACACCATCTTCTACATTTATCGTCAGTTTGTGAACCCTCTCTATTTGACATCAAAATAACGGCTTTATTATCAAACCATTTTACAACAGACACTTGCCCTTCTGATCTTTTACTCTCATCAATTGCCCCCCTACTTTCTTTTTTCAAATCAGTATCACTTCTTAGCTTGGAGTTCTTAGGTATTCTTATTTGTTTTAAAGTGCGAGTACCTTCAGCTTCTTTTTCTGAATGTAATAAATCTAAAAGATTTTCAGAATTAAAATATCTATCCATATAAACTGAAACCCCAGGAGTAAACGTACTCAGAAGCTTCAACACAGCCTTACCACCAACATCTAAAAGTTTAAAACGTTCATCATCAAATATAGGGTCTCCTTTTCCCTGGTAAAAGAAAAAATCCAGTGGCAATCCATCTGCAGCGGCCACGACAAAATTTTTCAACCCACATAGATTGAGATTTGTTTTGATTACTTGTCTGGTTAGACAATGCCCCCAGAAAGGAACCATTTGTTCCTTTTTTAGGATCCAAAGGATCTTTTTTCCAATAAAAGTAAAAGTAGACGAAGAACTAACCGACCCTATTGAAGCTGGAAATGGCATAAGACAGGGAGATTTCCTGAGTCATCTATTGTTCAACCTGATTATGGATGAAATAATAAAAAAAGTAAGAACAAAAAAAGGATAATAAATGGGAGAAAAACAACTTAAAATAATCTGCTATGCAGACGACGCAATACTACTCGCTCAAATTGAAAATGATTTACAACGTATGCTGCATCAATTTAATATAACCGCCAAAAAATTTAATATGTTAATTTTCCCAACAAAGACCAAAAGGAATGGTTATAACAGCAAATTTACAAAGATGTAAATTGGAGCTGGAAGGTCAGATAATAGAACAAGTGATGGAGTTTAAATATCTAGGCATCACGTTATCTAGCTACGCAAAGCTCGAAACCGAAGTGGAAGATCAAGTGAATAGAGCAAACAGAGCCGCATGCTGCCTAAATGAAACAGTATGGAGAAATAAAAATATCGGGAAAGAAACGAAAGGCAAAATTTACAAAACAGTCACCAGACAAATAATGACATATGAGACAGAAACAAGACCTGACACATGAAGGACAAAAAGGATGTTAGAAAGAGCAGAGATGAAAACACTTAGAAAAATTGATATTAAGACACAATGGGACAGAGCTTGAAGTACAGATATACGACATGTGGAGAACGTCCAAAACTGGATAAGAAATAGAAGAGTAGAATGGAACGATCATATAAGCCGAATGACAACAAATAGAGTATTAAAGACGGCAAGAGACGGTTCCCCAATAGGAAGACGATCAGTAGGAAGACCACGAAAACGATGGAATGACAACTTACTGGAGGCATATTGAAAAACAGATAGTCATGTCTATATAAAAAGAAGAAAGAATTAAAAATATTTAGTTTATCATTTCCAACTGCAAACTTGGTTTATAAGAAGTATTCCAGGTTTAGAATAGCATATAAAAATATTTATCATAAAAAATTAATCGGCCTAATAGTTTTTATTAGTATTCATTTTAAAATGTTACCAGGATGTCACAGATTTGAAGAAAAACATTCTAATTGTATATTTTAATAATCAAATCCAAACGGTAAAAAAATATATATATATATAATATATATATATATATATATATATATATATATATATATATATATAAAATCCCAATGTCTCCGTCAGCGGCATAAACGTTTCCATGGTAACAGCTTGAAAAATATGGATGGAAGGATAATTATCTATTTACAAATAAAAAAAATAAATCTTCAAGATAAGTGTTCAATAATTGAATGATAATTTTATCCTAACTAAAAAGCAGAAAAAATACTTACAGAAACTTGAACATAGAATTGGCCGGTCGGGACAGTTCGCCATTTTTACTTCTCCTTCTCCAAAAACTCACTCTAGCAGGTGATGTTACCTATTGGCTTTCCAGTGAAACTTTTTAAGAAAACTAACCTAAACGGACATCCCAGAAAAAATTCCTAAACAAAGCATGTTTTATATTGCGTCATTGATTATAAACCACCACCACAGTAGTTGTCTATATTTTGCCACCACCATTAATGGGTTTGTAATCAATGGTTGCGTGTAGACGACGCTGGGACTAAGGAGGTTAGAAAGGAACCACAACGTTAAAGGGGTTTTATTGTTTCATATGGTCAACCGAACGCCAAATATGAAAAAAATAATATTTATATTTGCAAAATACAAAACAATTTATAAATATTGTCTGGAATATTTGACTTGAATTTTTTTTTACAACGTACTAAATACATGTTTAATTTTTTAGAAAAGCATGTTACCGTCACAAGTTTACACGAATTTAAATGTAAAAAAAACATTGTATTCCTAAGCAATCTATCATCAGGTATTGAAAGAATTGGGATTAAACATAAAAAGGATGACAACCGACGATCATTAATGGAACATACCGATATTGCTAGTCAAAGGACATGCTTTGTTCGTAAGTATATGGAACATCGTCATAGTGCTCCGCAAGAGAAGTTATTTTTTTAGTTAAAACATGGATATATGCCAAAGGAAATAAAATAAATTCTTGGCAGGATAGTAATATAAAAAGTGTACTCAAACCACAAGGTTACGATGGCAAATTATACATTATTGTGCATGCAGGTTCTTCTCAAGGGTTCGTCCAAGAAGAAAGTTTACTGTTTTCTTCAAAATCTTTGTTGATGGACTATCATGGAGGAATGAATGGTACACAGTGGATTACTACACAGTTAATTACTAGTTTAGAGGAACAATCACTATTAATTTTATTGAAACACAAGACCTGAGTTGTTACAACTTGCCAAAATGAATAGAAAAGTAATGTTTATGTTATTGATGAACTTTTACGAGAGCGTGGTCATGAAGTATTACGGCTACCACCCTATCATTGTGACTTTAGCGCTATTAAGTTAATTTGTGCTAATTTTAAATCATACTATGATAAGTATATTGGTAGAAATGAAAGGAAATAATATTATACCTTTATAGTTTTCTGGCTGTTTTTTACCTCCTTTGTCCGAACTGCAATAGAAACCAATGTCTCATTTTTACAATAAGAAAAAAAAACACTAGAATATTTTTTAACAGATTCCAAGACGTGTTATAGTTACATTAAAAAATAAAAAAAAACATTTGTGAGCTTTTGCTTCTCTGTCATATAATTAAGATATTTAAATATAGTGTCCATAAAAATATATTAATGTTATAAATAATTTTTGTATACTTATTATCAGTATCTCACTTCTTTCTTGAGTTACTATCAACCACAATGTTAAATGGTACTAAAAGATAAAGTCATGCAGTATTGTACTTACCGCAGTTTTTCCCCAGCCTGCAACTATAACTGTTGTCCCTATTGGTACTCTAGCGCCTTCTTCGGGTAGACCTATGGGCTTAATAAACTTTGAGAAAGTCATTTTTTCTGCCAACTAAAATTCATTAAAAATTAAAGAAATGCTGTAAATATTACCTTTGTTTGTCTTAAATATTAAATAAATAAATATATTTGTTATTTTATTCTCAAAAGGAGAAAAAGGAGAAAACAATAAATATATATATATATATATATATATATATATATATATATATATATATATCGCAAAAAGGAGTACGACCGTCTATCCAATATATAATAAGGATCACTCAGACGAGTGGTGGGTTCAAATATCGGTCTACTAGGTGGAGAAATAAAAGACAAAGTTGATACTACTTCATCTATTTTGAAGACGTTTCGCTATCGAATTCTGATAGCATCATCAGTTCATCTAAAAATTTTTACATTATGAATACCACACATTCATGAAGAAGATGTTAAATAGTTACCTTTAAAAAGATATGTAGTTGTCAATGGTATTAAAAAGATAGTACAAAAATTCAAATAAATGGACATCATATGGTGATATTGTATAAACAATTAAATAACTAACAACATTTAGAGACTTAGTAAAAAGACTGTTGCTTTGCTAATTTTTACTAAGTCTCTAAATGTTGTTAGTTATTTAATTGTTTATACAATATCACCATATGATGTCCATTTATTTGAATTTTTGTACTATCTTTTTAATACCATTGACAACTACTTATCTTTTTAAAGGTAACTATTTAACATCTTCTTCATGAATGTGTGGTACTCATAATGTAAAAATTTTTAGATGAACTGATGATGCTATCAGAATTCGATAGCGAAACGTCTTCAAAATAGATGAAGTAGTAACAACTTTGTCTTTTATTTCTCCACCTAGTAGACCGATATTTGAACCCACCACTCGTCTGAGTGATCCTTATTATATATATATATATATATAATATATATATATATATATATATATATATATATATATTAACATAAAAACTAAATTAGAACAATAAAGTTGTTATATCTTCAACAGGAATACCCTCGTGAAGATTGTATTTAAAAATTAGCAAAATTAATTAACATACCTAATGACATTATTAAATTTGATTTTCTTTTTCTTTATGTCAAAACTTATTAATAAGTTTTCCATGTCTCCTCTATTTTTTATATTTATTTTAGGTTAGTTTGACAGAGGAAGTGTATATATATATATATATATATATATGTATATATATATATATATAGTATATATATATATATATATATATATATATATATATATATATATACCGAGAACAGAAGTACGACTGTTAATCCAATATAAATTAAGGATCACTCGAAGAGTGGTGGGTTTTTCGGTCAAAAGGTGGAGAGAAAAAAGATAAAGAAGGTGGTTACTTCATCTATTTATTAAAGATTTCGCTTTCTAATCAGAAAGCATCATTAGTTCATCTTAAAAAGACATGTAGCAGTTAATGATATTAAAAAAGTAAAGAAACTTACGACAATGGACATTATAAGATTATGTTGTATAAACAATAAATTGAACAAAATACAGTTAACAATCTGCTTAAACTAGCAAAAGAGCATGTGGACCAAGTAAAAAATCTTAATATGAAGAACTAAAAAGATCAAAGATGCACTTCCAACAGTATATCAATAGTTAAATTTAATTTTAACTTTAGGTAACATTATTAAAGCGATTAGATTGAAATTTAGTAATTTAAAAGTATAATGAAGTTACCACTCTGAGCTTCTAATTTTGCTGCCGGTGATTTCTCTCACTGTTCGAGTGATCCTTAATTTATATTGAATTGACGGTCGTACTCCTTTTCTCGATATATATATATATATATATATATATATATATATATATTATATATATATATCTCGACACCTCCTACGTAAAGTATCGTAACCAACAAATTTCGGTTTTTCACTTTTTTTTTCCTTTTCATACTTCTAAACATGTAAACTAACGTCTGCAATAATTAAAATTTTAATATTTCTAATAGAAGGCCTTAAAAATTAGAATATGAAATGTCGTATGTTTACTTTTGCCCATATATACAATCGTATGTTCTACTACCTATACTATACGGGGGGCGAAGATTTGATTGAAGATAGTAAAAGAAATAAAGGAATGTATTATTGTATATTAATATTTTGTAGAAAAATAAGCATTTTAATATAAACGTAATAATTTTTATTTTTACCGAAAAAATATCGTGTGTTTTAAATAAGATACTTTTCACCGGAAAATAAATAAAAATTATGTCGCATGTATATGATACGATGTTTTATGTTGACGTTTCATATTGTTTTTTATCGTATCTACTACTTGCCATAGATTACTTCGTTTAGTTATTCAAGATACCACATTATACGTGTCTAAAATTTTTTATATTTAATCAATTTCATTTTCTTTCTCCAGAATCACCTCTGCCATCGGATGTAGACAAGAGTGCAATAGAACAAATTATGGATTTTTTGTCAGATACCGTTAATGAATTTCCAAACCAACTCAGAAATATTCTAGAAAACAAAAAAAGGTTATTTGAAATGATGTAGGTAATATCAGATGTCGAAATGTTGCATCTTGGATTGGATGGAAAGAAAGAGACTAAAAAATACAGGTAAATCATATAAAAGTCGTGATGGTACAATGGTCAGAACAATCAGCCGAGAGATCTATTTAGAAAAATACGCTACCTGACAAGAGACTTCAGAGCCAGAACTTGGGCCATTGAAGTTAACACTGGAACCCTGAGAACAAACAGAGAAGACATAGCAGAGACATACATATAATCAATGAGAGACTGAAAACATCCTCAAAAGAGAAATTCCACAAGAGCAAACTGGATTTATCAAAGGTAGAGGCACTCGAGAACACCTGCTGAATATAAGACAGATAATCGAGAAATCTAGGGAATTCAACATCCCACTATACATCTGTTTTATAGATTACCGCAAAGCGTTCGACAGGGTCAATTGAAGACACTTATGACGAATACTAAAAGAAGTAGGCGTACCACAACATCTAATTACGCTTGTAACTGAACTATATGAACACACTACTGGATCAGTTAAAGTACTTGACACACTTTCGAACGAGTTTCATCCAGAACGGGGTGTCAGACAAGGATGTATACTATCTCCCCAATTATTCAACATATATGGGGAGTATATTATGCGAAGAGCACTTGAAGGATGGGAAAAGGGCATCTCAATAAATGGTCATAAATTAAACAACCTACGTTTCGCAGATAATACAGCCCTTCTTGCAAGTAGTCAAGCAGAGCTGATAGAACTTATACGACTGATCGAAAACGAAAGTCAAATATTTGGTCTGCAATTAAACATATCAAAGACAAAGATCACGATAGTGGATAGACTACACAACAATCATCCACACATAACCACAATTGACCGGTTCGAGGTTGTGAGCTCATACTTATATCTGGGATCATTAATCACAAACACAGGGTCATTACAAGAAGAGATTAAACGTAGATGTGATCGAGCAAAAGTTGCCACAGCAAAAATGACCAAAATATGGAAGGACTGTCAAATTTCAAGAGCGATAAAGATGAGGTTGATCAACTGCTTAATATTCCCAATACTGACCTACGGATGTGAATCTTGGACTCTGAGACAATCGGAGAGAAAAAAGATAGACGCCACTGAAATGTTCTGTTGGAGACGAATGTTACGAATTCCTTGGACCGACCGTAGAACAAACAATTCAAGTTTAAGAGAGCTAAAAGTTAGCCAACGACTCTCTAGTAAAGTCCATCTCCAACAATTAAAATATTTTGAGCATGTTATGAGAACAAACACAGAAAACATGGAAAGACTCAGAACAGAAAGGTAGCAGGCCGAAGATCACGAGGAAGATCCCCAACAAGATGGATAGATCAAATTACAGGAATATGCCAAAGACCTATGCATGAATTAAAAGAAATAACCAGAGACAGAGATCTCTGGAGACGGACAATACACGACATCACGTCGACCACTACACTTCCCCTGGGGGGTCAGGATTGAAGAAAGAGAGAGAGAGGTACAATTAGTTTGCGAAATCATTAAAACCGATGTGTCCAGAAAATTGTAGACATAAATGTTCTTCCAAAAATTAGTACCAATGAAAGGATTTCAATCTTCAATAAATTTTGGAATTTAAGTAAGAGAGAAAAGCAATGGGGTTTTGTAGCTTATTCAGTACTGAAACAAAAAGAAAACGAGTTTTTACTGATACAGCATCAAGGCGCAATTTTACTCTCATTAATAGACTGAAAGTGAAGAGAGGTGATTACGACGAATTTATATCTGTTTGTAAAAAGACGTGTTTAAATTCTTTCTCTATAAGTAAACACATTGTCTACATTGCCTTGGAAAAACTAGACGTTACTAGCGGTTGTTTGATATAAATAGATCAGAGATGCCATCATAATCATCGTAAGGCGATTACCGAAGACGTTGTCAAAAGTGTTTGTGATCACATCAATCCATTCAACCCGTAGAATCTTATACACAAAGTAGAAGTGATAATCTTTATTTGAATAGCGATTTTAATTTTCATTGCTTATTTGATTTATACAAGCTTATTGATATATCGTTAACGAACATTTTGAATTGAGTGTTTACGTTCTTAAAAAGGACCAATGTGATAAATATCACAATAAAAAAAAACAAATCTAAACCAACAGTGATTAAAACACAGATTTATGAATCACATCTGCATATACTAAAACAATTTTTAATTGAAGGTGATTACTTGGCAACATCGCACTTAACGAAGACCTTAACGATAACTTTTCAACGAAATTGTGTTCCACTTATCAATTTTGCAGAGGCGTACCAAAAAAATTTTAATTATTTATTTAAACACATAAGTAATTAATTAAATCTAAAATCGATATAGTTATTAAATTATCATGTGTCTTTTAACAGGTATCTTATTCGGTCCATGCGTAATTATGGTAGAGGTACCTTGAAACGATGCCAGCGTGCGTTGCGGCGAAATATGACAAAATTGGACCTATCTTTTACGCATAAATTTGATCAAAAATGGGTGCAAATACAAGTTGCCTATTTAATTGTGCAAATAATAGCAAAAATAGTGAGTGTAGTTTTTATAGGTTTCCAAAGATTACATATAAATTCGAGAAAAGAAAAAGATGGATTTGTGCTATTAATATGAAAAAGTAAATATCACATAATTTCATTTTTATGCAATTAAAATAGGAAAAATTTAAATAATTTACCTTAAATGATATTTCATACAGTTGCAAGCTAACTGCAGCCTGCCTGATGACTTTAGCTTTTACATCATCACTTTTACTACTATTGTTTTTAACTACATGCTCTTACACATGAAAATCTTGATTTACCAGTAATAGATTTTTCCCTTTCTTTTCCGTTTGGGGTTGCAAAGATAAATTATGTTGACTTTTTAGCAAACCAGTTTTAAATACTACATTTATTTTGTACATAAACTGAAAAAATATACTTAAAAAACTAATTATTAATAATTGTCAATTTCGTATTTATTTAACATATGTTTAACGTCAAATTGGGAGGTCCAAAACTGTCAGATGAAGGCAATAGGTCAGTCACGCACGGAGCGAATAGCTGTTTAACAAAAAAAGTAAATTTATATTGTTTCTATAGAGTACCTAATACAGTACTTCAACAAACAGAAATCTTTGCAAAATACTTATTTGCTGTCTACTATGAATGTTTTGTTTTAACTTGAATTGAAATGATTTAACTATTTGTTTAAATACATAAATAATTACATACAAATTAAATTTAAGAGCGACATAATTATTAAATTGTCATGTGTCTTTTGACCGGTATCTTATAGTGTCTAACAAATTAAAGTAAAATTTTATTCCTATTAGAGAGTACCTAAGACAAAACTTCAAAAAACAGAAAACTTTGGAAAATACTTATTTTTTCATTAGACTAAACAATCTGTTATAACATACTATCTCGTCATTACACATCATTCTCTATTTATAGAATTGCTGTGTGTTGTAAACTTTATATTTGTTTTTTTAACTTAATTTGAAAGTTTCCTTGTGTTTATTTGTTTATATAAATATAAAAATATATTAAGTTCATATAAATTAAAATTAAGTAAGCTAAACTATTATCATGTAAATGCGTGTATATAGTAGTGCATTTATTTATTTCAGTAAATTATCGAAATATGAAATAAATATGGCACTAACTACTAAAGAGTCAATAGCTTTGTTAGAAGAAGACTCAGATTGTAAAAATGCTGACTCACTTAAAGTGCCGCCGAGATTAGATTAAAAAGTTTCTTATGTAAAAGACATTGATAGTAATAATATTTGTGAAGAATCAATAAAATCGGATATTGCAGGTACATATGAAATACAAGTGATTGGGAATTCTGACGATTCTGATTATGATATTCCTCTGAACCACAGATAAAACCCCTTAAAGAAAAAACCATTCAAAAATAGTAAATCCAAATTTGTTCTAAGTTGTAACAACAGATACTTATTCGTGGTGTTCAGTAGTAATTCAACATCAGTCTGATTGATATTTAGACAATATAAAAGCCAACCATGAAGAGAAGTCGCCATTGAAATTTGGTCTTTTTGATACAAACGTAATTGAGAGCATTCTATATTTTACAAATATTTTTGCATCGCAGAATAACCCCCACAGATTTTGAAATGAATAACATAGATTTGTATATTATCTGGTTCACACTCTGCTTCAAGTTGATATACATTGGTCAAAGGATGAAGATAAAGAAGTGCCCATTATAAGAGAAAGCATGAGCCGACATATATTTATATTTATAACTTATAATAGTGAAGAATCGCTACATCAGTGTCAAGCTTAGTACATGTACGTCAATCTAAATTTGCTTCACCCGATGAAACCAGATTCGACAATATTGGCCACATTACAAAAAGAGACGATAGTGCAAGAATGTAGGATGTGCAGAAGTACTACTATTTATTTATGTAAAAGGTGTAGAATGCATCTACACCCCGAATGTTTCGAAAATTTTCACCTTACAATTTAATTTACATTTAAGTTGCAATATGTTCCTTAATTAAAAATTGTACTGTTTTTCTTGAAAATGAAAAAAAAAATCTTTTTGGTTGTAAATTAGTCTTAATTTATGCGTTTTTAATCCAATCTAATAAATTAATTGTCAAATTCCTCTTTGTATATTTACCAATCGTTAACGGGTTAGTACTATATAAAGAATAAACTTGCCGCAAATTTACTTTACTTACCTCAAAACTATTTTAAAGTTAATAATAAAGTCTATTTAATAAATATATTCCCAAGAAATAGAACACACTGCGCCTATGCACATAAGAATTTGGAACGAATAAACTAAAATATCATATTTCACTCATTACCATTCTTTCTAAGAACGTAAATATATATATATATATATATATATATATATATATTATACCAGCAAAATATTGATAAGTTTGCGGATGTTTTAAACTATTCAATAAACTTTTCTCACTACACACTCTTGAATCGCACCAATTTATATTGTTACGGGGAAAATACTATGAGGACTATGTTACTTTTTCGCTTATTTACATGGGCGAAGTATACACAATAAAAATGACCCCTGTAAGAATTTACTACTGACATTTTACACGGTTGCCGTTACCGTTTAGTTCAGTTTGTAGATTAGTCACCTTTAATTGAAAACTGTCTGACTATAGTAAAAATCTCACGCGTGAAAGAAAGTGTTTTAAAAAAACTAAGCTAAAACGTCTAAGGGAAAAATATTAACAGCTACATTCGATTTTCAGAAAATACTTATTGATCCACACGCTAATTTATTATCTTTATTATAAACGTAAACTATAGATAGGTTTTCAACGTCTCGCATCGTGGATAAAGAAGGTACTTGCTTCATGTCGCATGAAGGCCAGGGCAAATAAATTCATTGTTTAAATAAATATTCCGTTCGCGTACTATTGTAATAAAATATTAAAACCAATAAACGATAACTTGTTGAGCAGTGCTGATTGAAACAACAGAGCAGTAAAATGTTATTCATAAAGGTAGTGTAAAATATATTGCCGCTTATCTGGTCTGCTAGTAATAAAGTTACCAGCTTTTAATTGCAACGCGAATATGCTTAAATGCATTCCTCTACTGAAAAAAAAAAATTACTAATATCTGCAAAACTTATAAGTACTCATATAGTTATCGTTTTAAATAAATGATTTAATAATTAAATCTTCTAAATTGCCGTTAATTTATTATTACAAATATCTCTGAATACGTACCTATCACTCCTCCCACTTATTTGTTCGAACTAGAAATATTTGCCAGCCTTTGCCCATCTGTTTTTTGCCTGAACGTTATATCTTTCGTTTGATTAATCTAAGGTTTATTTGTTTTCATTACGTTTGGGCGCCACAACCCTTCTATGTAGATATTGGTGTGTTTGCAGAATATATATTGAATTTGGCAATTCAATATATATTGGGCAAATATAATGATACTTTGTTGATTGACTCACCTTGACAACTGCTATATCAAATGCATGAGGCTTTTTCCATCTGAAGTTCTCATGTTTTGTTATATTTTCTATCTTTACTATAATTCCAGGTTTTGTACGATCAGTAGTTCCAGCTTTGACTACCATTAATTTATATTTACTAAAAAACATTTTTTCAGTACCTTCAGATACACTAAAGTAGTTTAAAATAAAATAGATAAATCACATAGATAAATAAAATAGATAAATCAAATACACGCTCAGAGCGAATAGACTTTGACAGTTTCCTTGTCTACAAAATGCAGTTGGCTTTATGTGTCAGTCGGCCCACCAGAAAACTACTTATTATTGTAGCAATACAAACGCAGATGTTTGGGGCACAAAAATGAACGAGAGGGCGTTGTTCAGAATCGGAAGAGATGTGGGAGTGGTTCTTTGGATATTTTCTTTGTTACACAAACTAAAGTAAAATTATGGAGTAAGCAAAGAAAATAATAAAAGATAATAGCTAACAAATCTTAATTAAAAATATTAGATTATCAGAACAAAAAAAAAAAAAAAATAAGTATCTTATTGCCAAAAGGACACCAACAATTCTTTTCTTTATAGCTTCTAAAAAAAAAAATGGAAAAAAGAAAACAAGAGCGAAAACAAAAAAGAAGAAAACAAAATTTTAACGAAATAATAAAAATGATATATAATACATACACATTGTATAACAAATTCTGAAAATACTTTGAATCTACTCTCAATCTAATGAAAACCAACAACATCAAATGAATTTTTTTATTTCTTAATAATATTTTCTGACCTACTTTTATCAATTGAGATATAATGTAATAAGTTAAGGTAATTTCATTAAATATTTCTTTAGAAACTACCATCTGTGTTGAAATAATTACCATCAGGATAAGACTATACAAAAAATAATATACTGAATTTTGTTTACTTATTGGGCAAAATATGTACATAAATACCTTCCAGTAAATGATCGAATAATCACAATAAAAAATCTAAACTCTAAACGCTGAACCAGTCAAAATGCATATTACACATGTAATATTACACAGCAGTGGCGGTTGGTATATAAGTGCTGCGGAGCTGCAGAACCACCAAAATAATCCAAACAAAATTACTTTGAAAATTAAATAAAAAATATCACTACTTATAAAATCTAAATTCATTTAGATGGTTTTCGTGCATGGTCGCCTTTAATTTAATCTGTCGTCCGTCGCATCTCGTGACGACAGCAAGTCCCACTTATTTGACCGGACCGGTGCTACTCCGAGCTGTGAACTGTTAAAGATATCCCCGATCACATCCGCTCAACCCCTCGCCATCACTTTTCAGGCGACGACTGAAAGCAATATTTGAGCTGCATTTGTCGCAGTTCGAATTAGTGTGTACAAACCTACATTTATTGTAATTTTAAATAATCGGTGATCGCGACGCGACGACTGTTAAAATAAGTTGCCCTGCACGTAATTTGGTATTTATATTAAGTATATGAGTGCTGTTCAGGGTGGATGTTATTTATAATTTGATTAATGTTAAGAGATTCTTTAAATATTCTTATGACAAAAAACTAGAATTAAAATGCAAAGGACGTCCTTTGCCGGATATTAAAATCGAAAAAGAAAGATCAAGCCGAGGGAAAAATTACAAACGACAATTTAATTGCGATATTTATACGAGAAATAGTTGGATATGTGGCTGCAACAGAAAAAACGCTCTTTTCTATTTTCCTTGTGTACTCTTTGGAGGTGATAAGTCATGGACGCAAGTTGGTGTAACAGACTTAGTACAT